TGTGCGCCAAGGGGCTTTTCCTTATCCTGGGACACGTGGCTGTTCATTTGTCCCCGGGCTGCCAAGCCCTCTCTCTGGACCTCGGGACTCTCTGATCCTGTTCTCAGCCAACAGCCTTCTTCAGATTAAACCAGCTTTTACCCCGGCCCTGTCTTTGAGATCATAAGACACAAAAGTCTATCTTGCCATTTTTGCAAAGAACAGCAAAACAATCACATGTCCGCTCCCGCCCCCACCTCCCTCCTGCCTGCCCCCTGCTCTGTGGGTCTATTTGAGGCGAAATTTATCTCTGGGAAGGGCCCCATCAATTTGCCTTGCTCTTTTGTTGACAAGTTTATTAAAAACCCGGGCAACTCTGTATTAAACTTTTATCAGTGTTGAGAAATAATATATTTCTTTTTCTGAATAGATAGAAAAGTTATGGATTTGGGCTGAGCGGGTCTTGTTCAGCATTTGGCTGAGTCAGCGTTGCTGATGATAAGAAACAAGCCCGTTTTGGGGTACAGGGTTTCCTTTTGCCTTTTAATTAGGGATCTCTCTGGGGACTGCCCTGTGAGAGCCAGTGTCCCCCACAGAACCCCGAAAGCTCCTGCAGAAACCCCAACGGGGGCTGCCCACACACACCCGGCTAACTAATTCTTTGCTATCTATTTTAATAATTAACCAAAATCTGGAATTAAAATTTAATTTAGTGGTGAATCTGAGCGCTAATAGGTAATGGTTTTGCATGGAGAAATATTAGGTTATTGACATTTACATTTTAAAAGCTTCATAGTAAGAAACAAAAAAAAGCACCCAGATGGGAGTTGGCAATGTCCTCCCCTGGTGGGAGGGGACGGGCACCCTGTCCTGCCCCCCGGTGAGTGCCTGGGATTGTGGAGAAGAAGGAGAGGGATTGCTCTTGCCGTCGCCTTGGGTCCCTGAGTCTCTGTAGGGCTTTGGCGGGGGCAGGGCTGGGCTCTGCAGTCTCTGAGGGCAGCGTCTGTGCTGCGGGTGTGACCTGGGGTTGGTTGTCCTTGAGTGGAAGTCGTTTGGTGCCGCATCTTCACCAAGGACGCTGGTTGTAGTGTCCCCTGTGCTGGGGCGGGAGACACCTTCCCCTGGGGGTCCCGTGTGGTTTCTGCCCAAAGTGGCCGCTGTTCCCCGAGGTCCTGGGCGAGGGCTTGTGGGTGCAGCAGGACGGAGTGTTGCTTTCCACTGCCCTTGAGGGGCAAGTGCCCAGGGACTGCGTGCCAAGCTCAGACCGGGCCGTGGCGTGACCAAGACCCAAGTTGCACAGGGCTGGTGCTCACACACGGCCATTCACACTCCCACATGGAAGACCTGAGGTGCAGAGGGGCTATGGAAGTCCCCAAGAACCCCTCGCTAGGTGTGTAGTGCTCTGTGCCCGGGGCCCCCTCTGCCCCACCAGAGGTCAACCTGGGGACGGCTGCGGCTGCAGGAGAGGGCCCGGCAGTTCGCTTCAGCTTGCTCCTACTTCCACCTTCCAGGACTGTGGGGCTGCCTCTCTTCTAGGGTCCAACAAAGGGGCTGGGGCCCTACCAAAGGCAGGAGGGGCTTCCAGGATGAGGTGGCAGACGTGGCTCTGGCCCTCCTGCTCCCCCGTGTCCTCAACCCTCGGGGGTCCCGGGGTGAGGCTGCTGTAGCCGTCGGTTCTCAGTGACACTTCCTACCAGGTCTTTATCTACATCACTATTTGCTCCAATTATAACTAATTGGACACGTACTGCATCTTCATGGCATCTAATTTTCTATTGATTTTAACAGGGCTGCTGGTGTTTTCGGCGGAGATTGCCCGTCGCTGCTTAAAAATGCTGAGTGTACTTCCCTGTGTGGGACAACTCCATCAGCAGATGTTTTAAAACCTGTTTAATTGTTTGGTTCATAAAATGCACTAGCGGTAGGAGCTGCAGCCCTGTTCTCTACAGCACTGGAGTCAAGAGAGAGGCAGAAGGACCCAAAGTGTGTTCTCCAGAGCATCCACGCCCTGGGCTCCATCCCCAGTCCTGCTGTCCCGGCGAACGGTAAAGTCACCAGAAACGCCTGGGCCGCCTCTCTGCCAGGCCTGGGCACCCAGCTGGGGACACAGAGGGGACCAGCCAGGAGCTGTCCCTCCCTTGGCGAGCTTGCCTTTACTCAGGGGACGCAGGGACTCCTCATTCGATGAGGAAACCACAGTGGCAGCTGGCCCCAGAGAAGGCCAGGCAGGGCTGGCCCTCCCCTACCCGGAGGCCCCTGGAGCCCTCGGAGCCCGGGGATCTGAGGCCCCGGGAGCTAGGGGTGGTCGCTGTGGTGAGGGGCTGCGTGGGTCTTGGCAGGAAGGGAGCCCGTGCCTAGGAGGCTGGAGGCAGCACGCTCAGTTTGGGGAAGGTCGGAAAACGTGGGGTGCGGGGGTCTGGGAGGGGTGAGCTCTGTGAAGCACCCGACCTTTGAGCCGTGGGGCCCTTGGGGAGGTTTTGGGGCTTGTGGGATGCTGGTTTCTTGGCCTTTTTAGAGAGAAAAGAAAACAATACTTACAAGGAAGTCGAGGGGCCTCGGGGACCTCTCCCTTGTCAGCCCTCGCCCCACGCTGGTGAGACCCCAGGGCTCAGAGGGAAGGGGCTAGAGAATCTGCCAGTGAGTGGGAGCTGCTGCCCGAGAGAGCAGAGCAGAATAGGGGGTGCCCGGGTCCGCAGGGGTCCCCGACGTCCTGCCCGAGGGATGGACCCAGCTCCAGCATGTCCCAAGAACACAAACTGTGCGCCTGTTTCCTTCACACTCGCAAGCAAAGGTGCTGCTCACTCCCTTGGCAAAGAACGCCTGGGAACTTCCCTAAGCCAGGCCATGTTGGGGTGAGTGCACCTGGAGGCTGGCTGCCACCTCACGGGGCAGCATGAAGAGGAGGGGCTGGGCCCTGGGGCAGGGATGCTGCTGTGAGCCCCCGCCTCCTCCTGACGGGCAGTGCAGGGCTGGTCTTGAGGCGCAGTGGGGTGTATGGGAGAAGACGGTGGCTGTCGGTGCTCAGGGCTGCACCTGGCGCTTGGCCGCTCGGTGTCTGCTCACAGCTCACGCCCACCACCGTGACGGCTGCAACGCCAAGCTTGACGCCTCATCCAAGGCCGTGGGGCCTCCCCGTGGGGGTTTTGCAGCCTGTCCCGGTGCTCTGCTGCCTTTCGGGTGAGATGACCAGTTTGTTTGCTACGTTGATTGGCAAATGCCAGACCTCCCAGCTCCTGATGGGAAAGAATCGTGGCTGGGACTCGAGTCCCCGGCTTGATCTTCTCAAATCTTCCGCTCCATTAGGAATATTGACAGCGGTAAATGGATAAGTGCGTTCCGGCTGCGAGGTCTTCGAGCCGTCCTCACTCCAAGGCCGGGGAGGGGCAGGCTCTGGGAGCCTTGGGGTCTGCCCTGCACCCTCTGTGCTACTGGAGTAAGGAGGAGAGAGGTTTGCAGAGTGTGGCTGATGGCCCGGAAGCCTCTCTTTTTGGGATGCGAGACTGACCCCGATTTACAGGGGACTTTGGGGAGGCGGCCTTGCTGCACGGCACAGATCTTTCTGGAGGGCACCATGGCAGGGACAGTCAGGGAAGGCAGCTATGGACGAGTCAGAGCAGGCCTGGCAGAGGCTGGGATGGGGGATCGTCCAGTTCAGTCGCTCCCAGAGGGGCCTTGGAGGGTGGGCATGGTGCTGTGTGACCGTCCCTGTTGCCTGAGGGGCCTGAGCTTCTGTTCCTGCAACGTCAGGAGGGGGACAGAGAGGCCAGAGGACAGGCAGGGGGGGCGGCCCCACGTGTGCAGAGGGCAGGCAGGTGGCACAGGCCCCGGTGCGCAGCCCACACTCTGCCGTCAGGTGGGTGAGGAGCAGGTGCGTCCCCCCGTGCTGCCCAGGACGGCCTGTGCCCCCGGAGGGAAGCTCACACACGGCACCGCATCCCCAGCACTGCCAGAGACACCTTCCCTCACCTGTCACGGCTCCTGATGGACGGGGCTGCAGAGACACTCATTTTATAGAAGGGAACTTGCTCTCAAGTCACTGAGGGTGATCAGAGTGGGAGACATGGGAGCCAGGCGAGGGTCCTGTCACATTCGGACCTCCGTCCTGATGCTTCGTCCTCACAGTTCCCTTGGGCATGGGACATGCCCCTCAGCAAGACGCGGGCCAGGCTGCAGGGCTGGGGCATGGGGCCCAGGGTCAGGCCATGAAGGCCCCCTCAGTCTGTCCTCCCACCACCATGCAACGTGGGCGTCCCTGGAATCTTCCCGTCCTGCCCACCCAGAGATATCACATGGTGTCACAGTCCATCCCATCCCACCTAGGCCATGGCAAGCCAGGCAGGAGAGTGTCCTGGGTGGGCTGTCCTATGGTCAGCCGAGGCCCATGGCCGACTGGGAGGTCTGTCCTGCCTCTGCTCCGGCTATGAGTGTGGTCCGGGAGGAGTTTGCAGGGGAATAAGGGCCTCAAACCCTCAAGGTCACTGTGCCCACAGATGTGAGCCCCTGGGGCAGGGCCCGATGGTCTGGGCTGTATCCCACAGCTGAGGCTAGTGCCGGGGCAGCGGGCACGTAGTGAAGCCAGGGCTGCGGAGGAATCGGGTGGTGGAGGCAAGAGGGCACTGAGGGTCAATCCCAGAGCATGGAGGCTGCCTGGCGCCTCCGACCCTCCCCAGACCCCTGTGGGTCCCCAATGGGGGAGCCCGGGCAGAGCGAGTGGGTGGTGAGTTGTGTGTGAGTGGGTGTGTTTGTGCGTATCTGAGTGTGTGTGTGTGTCGGGGCGTGTGGCCCTTCGCACCAGTCCCCGCAGAGCTTGAGGGAAACTCCTCGGGGTGGAGGCCCTCCGGGACGGGGGGTAAGGGCCTGATGCCGGCCGCGAAGCCCCGTCTCCGTCGGGACGTCCGCCTGGTGGAGCTGCCTTCCTCACTGACGTCGCTGTTCCTCGGATCCGGGAGCCAAATGCTTTGCTAGAGCTGGTAAAATGGAACCAAATCGACTGTCCAATGGATTTGGTCCCCTTCAACCAGCTGTAGCTGTGCATTGATGGCGCCGTGCGGCCCGGCTGCAGGTCCCGCAGTCACGGAGAGGACCCAACAGGCGGTGCAGGGACAGCCCGGCTCAGCGTGTGGTCAGCTCCAAGTAAGCGAAGCCCCGAGTGCTGCCCCTGCCCCCCGCGACACGTCAGTGCAGAGCCCGAGAGCCCCAGCTGTGGTGCCCCTGCTTGCTCATCCTCCCCAGGGCACCATGAAACCAGTGTTCATTGCTCACACCAGAGCTTTGCTTGAAAATGTGGGCTGAGGAGCTGGGCCCTGTGGGTTGGGCCTGCCGGGGGCCTGGGCTGGCCCTGCCCTGTCCTCTTCCCAAGGAACTTTCTTTGATTTCTCCTTTAAAATGGCCTGGACACTAAGGCTCCCGAGGGCCCCGCAGAGGTGAGCACGGATGCTGCGCTGGTGACCTCTGGGGGTTTGTGTCCTCAGTGGGGAGGCCTGGGCCAGTGGCGTCTCTCCAGATGGCCTGAGGGGTGCTGGGCCTGGCAGGGAGACTACAAACGGGAGCCCCTCGGCATGGCCCGTGGCTGGGGAGGTGCCTGTGAAGGTTGCTGGGGGCCCCCAGGGCTCCCCATCTCCCTACCCTCTGGGGGGAGGTAGTGACGCCTACGTGCAGGGAAGGCGGGTTACCGACGGGCACAGCTGTAGCGAGCGGAGATCTGCAAGGGAGGCTGCAGGCTGGGCAGCCCCCAGGACCTGCTCGGGGTGGGGGGTCCCTGACCACGTGCCCTTCTCTGGGCAGGAGCTGGCATGAAGGGGCTCAGGCTGCTGGGCGCTGGCAGATCTGAGGCCTGGGCAGGCACGGGGGCTCCTGCTGGGCATCTCTAGGCCTGGGGTTCCAGGGCCTGTCAGAAGAGACCCCTGACTTCTACCCAGAGTAGCAGAGGCGGGGCCTCCCCTCAGGGGCCACCAGCTGCCAGTCCCAGGGCCGGTGAGACCGAGGGTCAGGACTCTGGGAAGGATGAGCAGAGGGAAGGGGTGTGGTGAGCAGAGGGAAGAGGTGTGGTGAGCAGAGGGAAGGGGTGTGGTGAGCAGAGGGAAGGGGTGTGGTGGGCAGAGGGGCAGATACCCCATGGACTAACGGACAGGCAGAAGACTGGGTCTGAGGACAGTGGCTCCCCTGGCCCTGGCTCAGGAAGTCACGGCTCCCTCCTCACACCCTGCCCAGCCTTACTGCCTCTAATTCCCAGGGTCAGCTTAACCCTAACCCTGGCACGGTGTTACCACCCGTCTTCACACAGAGTCACTATGTCCCCAGACAGTGGGAGAGGCCGAGAGGCTGGGGTAGTGGACAGCAGCCCTGTCTTCAGCACAGGGGTGGGGCTGGAGTTTGAAAACCAGAGTGTGTGGGATCCACGGGCTCTGCTCCTGAAGGGCTGTGGCCTTGGCCTTTATTCGAGCCTCTCTGAGTGGAGGGCAGAGTGGTCAGCCCCTGCTGGGGCTCCTATCCAGGCGCTGCCTCCTGGGAGCCTCCAGGGGCTTCCACTGCTGAGCCCTTTACAGGGGGCAGCCAGGTGGCCTAGGTATGGCTGTGCCTTTCAGGGTGGCCTGACTCCAACCCCACCAACCCCAAGCTGTGTGATGCCAGGCACTGTCCTCCACTGGGGTCTCCTGCCAGGGACATCTGTCCATCGGGTGAGGCCTGGTCCTGTCCTGGAGGGGAGACTTTGGACATCCACCCAGCCGAGGACCTAGTCAGCCTGCCCCCAACCTTCCCTCCTACCTGAAGGGTGGGGAGGAGGCTGGGGAGGTGGCCGGGGTGCAACAGCTTGAGGTCCTGTGTCAAATACATCACCCGGGTGAGGACTCAGGGAACCACCCCTGGGCCTGTGGGAGGGTTTTGTGCAAACATCACGCCAAGAACAGTGTCTGCTGTTGACCCAGCACCTGCCAGGGAAGGCTGGAGCCGTTGGAGTCCCTTCCAGTGCAGCCTGGGGCTCCTGTTGGTCACCACGCCGGCCGTGAACAGGGATGCCTGCTCCCTGTTGCCCGCCTGGCCCTTCCTCGCCACCCATGGCCCCGCCAGCCTGACCCTCTGTCACTGACGCCTGCTGAGGGCAGTGGCACAGCTGCAGAAAGCCCACAGCTGCACGGGAGCTGCCCTGCCAGGCAGGGCCTCGGGGTACTGGGGAGGGCGGCAGGAACGGAGGGGCACGCAGGCTCCATCCCAGCCAGCTGAGAGCCCGGGCTCCCTGCTCCGGGCCTCCCGTCTCTCCGGTAAATTAAAGGATGAGATGAGGCTGAGACCATCCCCGGTTCTCCACCGCGGTCAGGACATCAGCTCCAGATGACTGTAGGACACTGTGGCTGTTACCTGGCCTACCCCCCGGAGCATCTTTGTGGAGTCCCCAGTAAAAACCACTGCACCTGCCTTGCCATCCCCAGGATGGGGCCTTGTCCGGTGAAATCACAGTGCAGCCCCGCACCAGGCCACGCACAGTGTGGACAGACAGGGCATGTGGGTGGAGACGAGGGCACACTTGGAAGCAGCTCCCATGCCTGGCGGGCTGCGCACGAGGGGCCGTATGGGCTCCGACCCTCAGCAGCCCCAGGCAACGCATGACCGCGGCTGGGTGTCCCAGTGAAACTGTATTGGCAGACGCTGGAATTTGAATACCGTATCATGTTCGGGGGGCACTAAATGGGTCCTTTGATTTTTTCCTCCCAGTCGTTAAAAAGGTGAATGCTGTCCTGAGCTCTCAGGGGCTGCCTGAAAGCAGGTGGCAGGGGGATTTGGCCCTGGTTGCAGCTGCCACCTCCAGCTAGATTAAGAGGATAAATGAGCAGCAGGCACTGTGCGCACAGGACCGGGACACAGGGGCACCGAGGGCGGCCACTGCTCCTCCCAGCTGCTTGCTGCATGTTTAGTCAGTGCACAGGTGGAGGCCCCAGTGCAGCCCTAGTGTTCACAGCGGTGGGACCAGTATGAACAGCCCCAGCCTGCCCAGCAGGAGAGAAAAACCAGGAGGAGGCAGCTGGGGCAGGGCAGAGCCTGGAGCCTCCAGGTTTGGGGTGGGGCTATCTCATGTCTCATCCTGCACCCCCTGCAGCCTCGTGACTTTGGGCTGAACTTGCCCCCAGCAGGTGCCCATCTCTGGAGCAGGTGTCCACTGGGAACAGGGCCCAGCCAAGCCAAGGCTACTCCCCAGGGTCAAGGAAGTGGGGTCAGGGACAGGGACACAGCCCACTGGAGGACCGCAGTTTCGGATCCCAGGATCCTAGCAACCCCGGGTTGGGGTGCACAGGAGCCATCTCTGCCAGGCTGGGCATGCTACGGAGTGCCTGGGCATCAGAGAGGGCGAGGAGCTCACCACAGTCACACAACCAGCCCTGGGCGAGCCTGGAGCAGGATGGGAGCACATCCCTGTCTGCCCCAGGGCTGTGTCTTCCACTCAGGAATGAACAGCCCTTGGCTGGACTTGGCCAGGCTGAGTTTGGGACCCTGAGTTTGGAGGGCTGCTGCCTGCAGCCCCTGCACCTGGTCTCCATGCTTTGCTGTGTGTTAGCTGCGTGGGGGTCCGTGCAGCATCTTGCCTTAGGGGGCTCAAGGGGAGAGGGGGCAGCGGAAGGGGGGCCAATGCTGGGGAAGGGGCTTTATGTCTCCTGGGGCTCTGCCATCTGTCTTTTCATCTCCCTGGGAGGGGTGAGAATGTGGATCTGAGTGAGCAGTGGACATTGCCAGCTCGGTGAGCGAGAGGATGGGTCTGAGGGTCCAGTGCTGTGGGAAAGCCTCTCCCTGCCAGGTGCAAAGGTGACAGGATTTGGCCCATCCCAACCTCAGCCGAGAATCTGCAGGTCCTGGGTCCTGTATCACTGTAAGAAAAGTCCAAGAGCTCATTAGAAATGCAGATTCCAGGCCCCGTATCCCACCCCTACCCCAGTCAGAGCCTCCAGAGCAAGGGTCTGGGAACCTGAATTTTTACCGAGTGCATTTGGTGAGTCTTATGAACAAGCCACACCAACCTGGTCCCCTTGATGCCTGCTGGCTCCGCACCTGCCCTGTGTACACCTTGCTCAGGTCCCCTCCCTCTGCTCCCTTCCCCTCAGCGGACCAGCTCCTTCCGGGAAGCCCCTGGGCCTCTCAGCAGTGGGTCTCTCTCCTCCATACTCTAGCAGCTGCCATCACACTCGGGACCCTGTTGGCTGCAGTGGGTCCTTGTGGAATCTCCCCTCTCCCTGCAGCCTTGGGTGGAGGGTGAGAGGTGTGTGCAGTTTCCCAGATGTCATGGAATGAAGTGACGTAGTCTCTGTGTGTGCATCTCCTCATTCTGGGAGAAAGTGTTGACCACAAACAAGCAGAAAGAAAGTTAAATTCTACCACCCCCGGCAGCCCCTGGTGAGATGCCAGGCACTTCCTTCCAGTCTTTTTATTCCGTATGTAGCTCAGTTTATCCCCTTCCCACCTCCCACCACATACACTAAGGCAGCGGCCACTGGGCTGATAAACAGCCGTTTCTGCAGAGCAGTGCCTGGGGCCCCCTCCTGTATCATCAGTGGCTCTGTCCACCTTTCTGCCCGAGGTCCTGGGGTCAATGCAGTGCCAACGCGCCATCCATGACCAGCGTGAGCAACCTCACTGCTGTCCACAAACGCTCGTGTGCTGAGCCCTGGGCACAACGTTCTCCAAATTCTGCTGGCTCTGACATGCGTGCCGTCCTGTGGCATCACCAAAAACGTCCTGACTTCCTTCCTCCTGAGCATGGGATGGAGGTGAAGCCCTGAGCAGCCTCCTGTGGGTCACACACCGCACCTGCTGCACCCACCGCACCCCCTGCGCCCACCACACCTGCTGCCCCCGCCGTGCCCACCACACCTGCCGCTCCTGCCGTGGCTCCCGTCCCTCTGCAGGTCCCTGCTTCCCTCTTTTCAGTAGCTTGCTCAGGCGCTGACCGTCTTCCACCCCAGCGCCCTGTCCCTCCTCAGGTCCTGCTGACCGGGCAGCCTCTGGTCTGCAGCAGGGCACACGGGCCTCCGAGCGCTGGGCTGCGGGGTTGCTTGTTGCGGTTGTCCCTCCCAGCCTCTTGCTCCCGTGTGCCTGGCCTGGGACTTCCTCCAGGTGTATTTGTGGAGGAAGCCAGAGAATGGGTGCAGGGTGCAGACAAGCCTCTGAGGGGGCCTGCACAGGAGGTGGGGTCCCAGGCAGAAGGGCCAGTGCAGCCTCCTAAGTTTCAGGAATAAGCTGTGATCTGGAAGCTTTGGAAACTCTTGAAGACAAGGAGCAATGATCTGTGTTGCACCAAGGATTCCAGATCCCTGCTCTGCTGCCTCCGGTGGGAACACCCACACGCCCTCCCCAGGACCCCTGGGCCGGCAGCCTGGGTTTGTGTGTTTCAGTCCTGGATCTTGAGCCCTTAGAAAAGAGACCCTTCTCCCACCCTGGCCACTCCGTCTCCTGCTTCCCCACGTCGTGTCCACTCGTCCCAGCGTGCGGCGGGTGGGGCTGGTGCTCTGGGACTGAAGTCTGGTCCTGGCTCCCACCCTGGGTGTTTCTTTCCTATAGGTCAGCCCTGAAATGTCCATTACTCACAAAGAAAAGGAAAATGCTCATTTGAAAGACAATTCTTCTCTTTGACAATGCTGAGACATTCTCCCAGCCCCAGCCCCACAGTGCCCCAGTGTGTGAAGGACAACAGCTGTTGGGGAAGTTCAGTGCATCTGTCCTAACCAGGGCTGGAGGTGGTGCCAGTCTGTGCAGCTGGGAACACCTCCTCCGCTGTGGCTGAAGGGGCTCCACCTGGCACCTGTGCCACCAGTGGCCCCTGAACGGGCATCCAGGCCCACCCTTAATAAAGATGCATTGCTCATTCTGTTGCAGACCTTGTTTATCCTCCCCAGCTCCCCAGTGCATTCTGGAGGAGATCCCTCCACTGTCAGACAAAGACTTCAGAATGACAGCGGTCATCCCACCGAGAGTCAGCGGCGTCGGCATGTGCTTCTCCTTCTCGTCAGTGCCCCTCTGGCTCAGTCCAATGCCCAGCGCTTACAGCCGGGGAAACACACACAAGCACATACACACCCCATACACGGGCACAGGCTCACATGTGCACACACCCACACTTGTGCAAACACACACAGAGGCACATGCACATTCTCACACAGGCACACATACACAATGCACACATGCACAATGCACACACAGGCACACACGTGCACACCCGCACACATGCTTACACATGCACTTACCTGTACATTCCCACACACGGACATGCAGGCATACCCCTCCACACACACATATATGCACATGTATGTACACTTTCTCACAGATACACAAAGCAATGCAGACACTCATGTATGTATACATGAGCACACATGCATACACACAGGCACACACTGTGCACACACATACGTATGCACACACCCACACATGCACAACACACACACATAGGCACACATGAGCACACACTCACATGCACACACGTTCCCATTCCCCCACCACACAATCGCGCAGACGCCTAATGCCTTGCGGCAGGTGAGACCGCCCGTCAGTAGGATTAGGGGCCAACAGAGGGTTCTGGCAGCGGATGCAGGCAGTTTGGGGAAGGGGCTGGGTGCGAGCTGAGGCAGACAAGGGAGGCTGAGTGAGGGAGAGGGTTGGGTCCCTGAGGTGGGGCAGGGGGAAGGGTGGGAGGTGGCTGAGGGAGCTTCCCCGAGAAGCTCAGAATGAGGCAGTCACATGGGGGCTTGTTTGGGCTTTCCCAGGTGAACCCTGTACTTCCCCCTTCCTCTCCCCCTCCCTCTATATTCCCCTCCCCAAAGCCATGGCCTCTCACCACCCCTCTGCCCTGGCACCTCAATGAGACCCTGTGGAAGTTCCTGTAGACAGGAGGTGGGGTGGGGCCTGCCGGGAGATGGGGCCTGTGGGGAGGTGGGGTCTGTGGGGGAG